AGTTTAAGCAAGCTTACTGTGCATATATGCGGCTTGAATTCTGCTCACCACTTGGGAAGCGGCGGGCATACTACCATGGCAAAATTCAGGCTCTCGCACAAACCCTTGAGCAACCGCCGCATAACCCGGGAGCCCCTCAGGAACAGACGAAGATGGAAATGCAGGTGAAGCAGAACCACCTGAGGAAGAGACAAGGAAGCAGTCCGAGTGTCCCACATAAGACCCAGCCAAAACCAAACTTGACAGGGAACCAGATGGGGCTTCCACCAGTTCACCAGGAACCTGAACTCAGCGAGCTGGAAAAGAACCCTGGCAAGCAAACACACGGACTGGCTGGGAGCCCAAATCAGCCAGACGCCGAGGTAGGTTAGAACCCGAACACCTAACAGACGCAGACAGGCTATCACGACCCTAGTAAGGCACGTGAAAACGTGAGGCACCAGACTCAAGTTGACTGGAAGGCAATATGAAAGCAGTAACCTCAACGCCTCACAACAAAACTGAGCCAGTCCCTGAACCTCGGATGAATCGGGACGCACCAATATGAGTCCTTGAGGTCCAGGGACATCATCCAAGCATCTGGCTGCAACAGAAGACTGACCTGGGAAAGAGTAGTCATCCGAAAGGAGGGGCAATAACCCATGGGTTCAAACGGGACAAGTCCAGGATGAACCACAGGCCCGTGCAGTCCCATTTCAAGGTTTCGGGGACAGGAGAGAACCCACCTGCGAAACGAGGTCATTTTGACGATACCCAAGCGAACCCACTCTGAGACGACTCGACAGAGTGCAGGAGAAGAGGCCCACCCCACCAACCCCGAACCTCCCGAAGGAGGAGGAGCCACCCAACGCCACCGCAGGCCGCACGAAACGAAGGGCCCAAAAATCATGGGACCAGGCACGAGCAAACACAGCAAACCTCCCCCCATTGTCCTGTCAATGGGCCGAACCGAGAAAAAGCCGATACACCATACGAGAACCTAAACGGTGCACAGGGAGATCCCCGCACCAACCAGAAAAGAGGGAACCGAAGGCTGCACCTGCTCCGAATCCGACACCACTAGCCTACCACGACAGGAAGAAACCCGAGCCCCGACACGACCCTTCTGGGAAGGCCCCCAATGAGCCCCCTGGAGGACCAACAAGCTCGACATAGGACAGCAACTAGGCAAAGCACCCTGCAGATACTGCACAACTGCAGACTCTGCAAACAGCAATGGACAAAAAGGTAAAGACAACCAAAGAGCCAGGTCCCAAGTGGATTCCAAAGAAGAAGCAAGCACTGCCAGCCGACAAGCGAGTCGAGAAGCAAAAAACCGAGAACTGCGCCCCATAAAAGAGGCATGAACAGCTCCAAAAATGCAGACGATGGGAAGGCACCTGACCATGAAGCTGCAGCAAGCCAACATCCCACAGAAGGGCAGGAGCGAACAAACACGCATCGAGATGCTCAAATTCGCCTCCCAGGAACCAGCAACGCCGTCTGAGCCTCCCTCCACTCAAGTGCGCAGCCCCAATGAGAAGAGTGGGCAGTCTGCTAACCAGGACGACTCCAGAATATCATAACAATCCCAGTAACGACACGAAGATCTGTACACAAAGGAATGCGGATCCGTCACAAAAACAAACTAGGGCGCACAGACGGTAAGCTGCAAGAGCTTCCTGCAACACGTGATGGGATGCAGAAAACCGAAAACTTCTGGAAGGATGTTACCGAGGAACTCGCAGGAACACGGAACTGAACCCGGGAAGGGGTAGACGCCAATTCCAATTAATGTCATGGGTTCGTATCCTGACCGGGGAGGACTGACTGGGCACAAATCCTTTACTGTAGCCTCTGTTTAACTCAACAGTAAAATGTGTACTTGGTTGTAAAAACGATTCTTCGTGGCAGGGATCATATTCCAGGGACCTGCCCGAAACGCTACGCATACTAGTGGCTGTACAAGAATGTAACAACTCTTGTATATATAATATTAAAAAAAAAAAAATAAGGAGGGAGCAAAGGAGAACCCTTCTCCTTGCAACACCAAGCCCTACTCCGAGGGTACTAAAACCCAGGCGGGGTCCAACGGGGCCCTAGGCCCCCTAGTCAACCCTTCCCCTGCACCAGGAACCCCACTCCAAGGACCCTGAGCCGAGCTGTCCCCCCAAAGTTCCAGCCTCACAAGAAAAAGCTGGAGCAGCCGAAAACACTAAAGAAGGGGCCCACTGGTCAGATCCATATGCATCAGCAGGAGGAACAGGCTCGAATGCCTCTACTGCCACCCCGGAAGGGGACACCCATGAAACCACCCGAGTCTCAACACCAACTAGACCCTACCCTGCCTCCGAACCCGCAGATTGGTTGGAGCCGGAAGCAAGGGGAAGGGAGGAGGGGAGAGGGGGGAGGAGGGGGGAGGAGGGGAGGAGGGGAGGAGGGGAGAGGGGGGAGGAGGGGAGGAGGAGAGAGGGGGGAGGGGGGGAAACTGGACACACAACAGAAGGGAAAGCAAGCTACCAAAGTTGAAGCTACTCCCACCCCAAAATCTGGGTCCCTGAAACAAAAAGGGGCAGTCCCGGGGCATCCGGGGAAACAACCAACCCATCGCGTTGCAGCAACAGAAACTATTATGCAACGCAGATGCTACCTGCACCCACAGATCACGATCAGTAACAAGGGTGAACTGGAGCACGTCCCAACGACAAACGTCGCACGACTCCGGATCAAAAGAGCCACCTCCTCCCCTACAGGCAGCATGGCAGAGGCACACCTGGTGATTGTCACCATCGAACCACGTAGCCCCCCCCCCCCCCGCAGGGTTTCCCAGGACCCTTAGCCTTGGTAACACACTAAGGGAAGCTCAAGCAGGGTACTGCAAACCAGAACCCAAAACTACCAAGCAAACTTCTAAAGTTGAACCCCTGGGACATGTCCACTCACAGGGTCCAAGCAGGGGGTAACTACCAAAAACACAGATGTATACAAGAGAAGGACCCGAATATAAATGGGGGGCAACCAACCAAAAGCAGACCCCCCCACCTGGCAGGAAACAAAAACAAAAATATACCTGCAAGAGGACAACGTACCCAGGTGGAACAGAGCCAGCGGCTATAATAGGTGATAACTAACTGTGAAGTACCCTACGCCCCAACAAATGACAAAAACTACCTCCTACCCAGAGGCAAATAAGGGCGACAAAGACCCCAGCTGACTCCAAGAGTGGCCAAGTACTGAGCAGTAAAAGACACAGCGGAGGTAGACCCCAAGGTAACTTATGGAAGGTGGCCCCAAGGGCAGTATTTACTGAGCACCTAGGGAAGGAAATCCTAGGCGCATGCAGCTAGAGTACTATAGAATATTATTCCGGTCTCTACAGGTGGTGTGTGAGCCATACCACAAGACACAGAACAGACAAAATGTAGGAGCCAGAGGCACAAGACTACACCAGGAGTACACCAGCCAAGAACTGCCAGTTGGATCGCCAGCGCAGGGTCTGGGACGCCTTGTTCCCCCTCCTGGGGAGGGGAGGGGGTGGGAGTTGTGCAGACAGTGGCGCGGCGTGATGACGTTATGCTCGTTTGTCAATTTTCGTTAAGGAGTTCTGTCCACTTTTGGCTTTCGGTAGCAATATTTTCACCAGAATAGGGATTTGTTTTGGGGCACCTATCTTTCTGGGTGCCAGACCCGGTCAATGGCAGACGTAGAATGCTCCCAACCACACGGGGGTTTCTATATGCCATTGCTCTTCGTGCCTCTCTGAGGGGGAAGCCAGGTTTTGCCTCGTGGTCCCCAGTAGGCAAGAACTCCATGCACATTGATGCCAGAAAGTTATACATATCCATATCAGCCTGGATAGCTCTGGGGAGCCAATGGGGCTTCCCCCAGAAAACACCCTTTCCATATTCTCCCCCCCCCCACACACACACATCTACCCAGGTCTCCCCAACATAGGCCCACCCCATCTCCTCCCTCCACATACCCCTCTCACTGTTCCCCCTTCCCCCTCCATTAACTATTTTCACAATATCTAGATTGTACCTGCTTGAGGTTCTGGGAGTTTTGACTTGTCCAACAGGCTGTTGCCTGGAGCAGCCTGCAGGCCCACATATCCATTACAGCCCAGTTGGTCTGTGACTTTGTGCAGCAGTGTTACTATAACCAAACGTTTGCACCAAGAATGCAAATCTCTCATTTGAACATACATTTTGTAAGTCAATATCTTAACACACTACTTAAACAGAGGCTGAACTCTGCAGACTCTGTGCAAAGTATTTCACATCCCCCTACTTTATGAAAGGGGCAAGGGAGCTGACCGCGACATATTACACTTCTCATATAATAACCAATAAATCTGTAAAGTTTCAGCATTTGGCCTCCACCCTTGGACAGAGACAGACACAGTCCGTTTTATACATATAGATATAGGCCAGAAATTATAGAAACTAGATAAGTGCAGGATGTTGACCAGACCACACACTAGAAGGTGAAGGGACGACGACGTTTCAGTCCGTCCTGGACCATTCTCAAGTCGATTGAGTTAAGTGCAGGAGTTATGGTAAACTGAAGTGAGCAGGCATTTCTGACCACTTGTGTGTGATTAACTCCCCCCTCCCCCGATAAGGCACAAATGCCAAGTTGACCAGCAAAGATTCGAGATGGACCTCGGGAGCTGAGAAGTGGGGTGAGGGGTTGGGAAAGAGGAAGGGTAAAGGAAGAAAAGCCACTCTAACGGGCCAGTAAGGATATATTACACACCAAGAGACAAATGCTTCTGGTGTTTTCAGTGGATTCATCTTGCCACCAATTTTTTGTATGTACTGTGATGCACCATCTACATGAGATGGCAGAACCCATAATTGTGATGATAAACAGTAATCACAAGCCTGTTTGCAAGAAACTTGTCAAATGCAGATGTATCCAGAACACAGCAGAAATCAAAGAAACCTCCCCCCCTCCCCCAGGAATAAGCTGCAGAAACTGCCAACATCTACCATGGCAGATATTCCTGCCATACCTACCAAAGCTAGCATAATATGTCTGCCCTCTATATCCAGCAGAGTCAACATTGCACCTGATCAACCAAGAAACAATGGCTTAGTTATTAGATGAGGTTGAAGCTTAGTTTTTATTTTTAGACAATAGAAAGAGAGGCATTCTCAAGTTACTGTTCAGAAATAAGAAAAGTAGACAAAATAAAATGTATAGAATAAAAACATATGTGATTCCCTTTCTGAGGCTGCCTAGCTGTAGTCCAGTGTAATCTTATCAGTCTTTCAAAACCATTACCAGTTATGACATTATGATAAACCTTATCAGTCAATTATTCATATTTATTGTACTTAAATCTTGTGTTTGTTATTATAAGTTTGTATTTTCTTAATAAACACATAACTAATTTAGAAGTAATGTATAGAGATCTACAATTCATAGATATGGGTTTAACACCAGACTTGAGAGAAGAGAAAAATGATTAGATAAGATATCGCACCTTGAATCAGTCAAACCTTTCTAGCTAACTTGTCACCATTCTCCGAGCAATGGTGGCTAGCTTTGTCTAACAATTAAAATTCAGTAACTGAATTATTACCAAACTGAACTCAAATTCAACTACAAAAATCAGTGCTCAAGATCACAATGTTACTGAACTATCCAAGTCTGGCCTTATATTGTGTTCAAGAAAATACAGTAATCAAGTTGTTACTGCTGATTAAGATCCCAATGGAGTAATTATTCAATTTGTTAATTTAAGCAACACTTTCCAACATCCGTGAATTTTAATAAGGAGCAAGATTTATATGCAGTTCAACGGTTATAAAACTAGCAATGGTTGAATAACAATTCTTGTGCATTTCATCAGGTGATATAAAGAACCATAAAAACCACCACCACAATGGAGCACAGTGAGCTCCTACAGGAGATGCAGCAGATTGAAAAGCTGCCAATAAATGAACGAGTTAAACTAGCACAAAAGAGAAGGAAGCAACAGTTAATAGCCTATGCAAAATGGACAAAAACCGATACTTTTAGCAGCAGACCAAGACCCAAGAACAGACGTGGAATAACTTTTGCTCCCGAAATACAACTTATGGACGTTGCAGCAAGGGGATCAATAGATGAAATGCGTTCTCTTCTAAAATCAGGTGAGGTCTTTTATATTGATGACCCACATGATTACACACACACACTGAGTGTGTTTATGACATGTTTTGTTGAGTTTAATATGGTTCAATGTTTTCAATTAATATCAAATGAAAAGGTGTGGAGTTAGCAGTCATGTTGTTCTTAAAGTTTTGATCAACTTCTAAACAAATTCTAATCTAATACTTATTTTTCCACAATGAACATGAAGGATCATAGTATATTGGAAACTATATGAATTCATAATTTGTTTTGAAAGAAATGGGAGAGGATGAGAAAGAGAGACTTAAGCCTATCCTGGGTGCTGCCAGGTACGCCTTCTAGTACTGTATATATTGGAAAGCAAATCAGGTTTGACACACTTCCTTTTTGAGGGTTTAAATAGCACCTTGGCTTAAATAACCTAATTTGCCTTTATTAAATTCAAGTGTTTTTTCAGCCTTGGCTACAATATTTATAATTAACCTTGTACATAATTACTGTGTGTTAAATAGGTGCACTAAATAGGAAAGACCTATACAGTGGGACCTCGACTTACGATGGTAATCCGTTCCCAGAGACAGATTGTAAGTCGAAATATTGTAAATCGAAGCAATTTTTCCCATAAATAATGGGAATTGAATTAATCTATTCTCCACCCTCCAAAATATTAACTTACAAATACATTTTATACTGAATACAATGTTTTTTCTAACTACAATACAGTACATATGTTTATCTTACCTTTATGGAGGACTCGTGATGCATATGGAAGATGGGGAGGAGGAGAGGTGTTACTGTTTGGAAGGGAAGTCCCCTTCCATTATAACATCAGGCAGTGATGACTTCTCTGGGGTACACACACACCTACATTTTGCCTGCATACCTCTAGGACCTGGTTGTGATTCACTGCTTGTTTGTCTCACTAAAAACCTTTGTAGCGAGTAGATTATCCCAATAATATACTCGCTCCAAATATAGTGTTAATGTTCCTGTCAACCTTTGGAGATGAATGAGGTGAGGCGTTGCCCGGGCAACACGGTGAGATGCCCGAGCAATATAAGCAGCGGTGTAGCGAACATTAACTAGTCTACTTTCAAGTGTGGTCTAGAGCAGACACTTGCGAGATACTGTACCGACGCTCAGTGCGCTCAACTCACACCAAAGTATCACCTGTGTACTTCTGTATATTCGACCAAATATATATATAGTATCTTAGTGTCTGTGTTTATTTGTCACCATACTTTACGTAACAATAGAACCGTTACATTGGTGACCCAGTGAGTGACAAAGAACACCTAGTCACAAACTAGATCTTCGCCATGGATTTATCTACCAGGTTTCCAGCATACAACGCAGATGAGCCAGAATTTTGGTTCATGCAGATGGAGGCTATTTTCGACCTTCACGAAATTTCGACTGAGAAAGCCCGATATGCCTGTACCCTGCCAACACTTACCTCGGAGGCTATGCACACTGCCTCCGCTGTCATCACCGCGCCATCACCGGACACCAGGACGTACACTGCATTGAAGGCCGCTCTTCTACAGGCAGCAATGAAACGCCGCATTCAACAAAGGGACCAACTCCTCACTGACAAAAGGTTAGTAGACAAAACACCAGCCCAGCTTCTGCGGCATATTCAGTATGTGATGCATACTGCAACTGGTCCAGCCCCCAGCGAGATTGTGAGATCACTGTGGATACAACTCTGTCCAAAACACATTCAATCGGCCCTATTCAGTATGGCTGACGACACCCCATTAGCCCAACTGGCTACACTGGCAGACCGGCTTCATACGACGTCTGATAACGCTACGCTGTCCCACCTCAGTGATACACAGCAGACTACAGACACCCAACAACTCGACGTCCTCCAGAACCGGCGTTTTTTCCACCCAGGGAAGACGTACCATGCGAATCCAGTATCAGTCTCTAAGCGACAGCGAGAACGTCGTGGAGAACTTTGTTCTTACCACCAGAAGTTCGGACACCAAGCCCGCAACTGTAGGGCTCCTTGTTCCTGGTCGGGAAACTACTTCGGCGGGGACTGTTAACGGCCAGTGACCCCGCCATTTCAAACACTACACTGCTCTACATATCTGACGTCATAACCAAACGCCGTTTCCTCGTTGACACAGGTGCAGCAGCTAGTGTGTTGCCTCCCCCACTGGTCAAACCAACCCGTACTCCTGGTTTGGACTTACGAGCCGCCAATGGTACGTCCGTCCGTACATATGGGACCCGCGCCCTGGTTCTCGAGTTCGCCTCTCTGGGTCGCTTTACGTGGACTTTCCTCATAGCGGATGTGGAACAACCCATTCTTGGATGGGATTTCCTGCAACACCATCGACTTATGGTGGATCCCGCAGGTGCAGTACTTCGAGCCTCTCCTAGTACCTCACCACAAGTTTACATCGTCACCCCAGTCGCATCTACGGAACTTCAAGCACTCCTGGATGAATTCAAAGATGTGACCCAACCCGCTAGCCCTCGACCAGAGGTGCAACATACGATTACGCATCACATTACCACAACGGGAGCACCTACCTTCGCCAGACCACGCCGCCTGGCACCGGAACGACTGGCGGTAGCACGTGCTGAATTCAATAAGCTACAGGAGGCGGGAATAATCCGCCCTTCGAACAGTCCATGGGCTTCACCTCTCCATATGGTCCCGAAAACAGCCCCAGGGGAATGGCGCCCTTGCGGAGACTACAGGGCTCTCAACGTTCATACTCTGCCGGATCGCTACCCAATACCACACATCCAGGATTTCTCACAGGGATTGAGCAACGCAACCGTTTTTTCGAGAATTGACCTTGTGCGGGCATTTCACCAGATCCCTGTGGAACCGGCAGACATTCCGAAAACAGCGATCACAACACCTTTTGGACTGTTTGAATTCGTCCGGATGCCTTTTGGTCTACGGAATGCAGCCCAGACATTCCAACGCTTCATCGACCAAGTAGTTAAGGACCTTCCTTTTTGCTACGCCTACATTGACGATCTGCTGGTGGCCAGTACATCACCAACAGAACATCTGCTACACCTCCGACTCCTTCTCACCCGTCTGCGCAACTTCGGCTTGCAGCTCAACTCCGAGAAGTGTATTTTCCATGTTCCAGAGCTGGATTTCTTGGGACACCGTGTGTCAGCAGCAGGGGTCCAACCACTAGAGAAGAAAATCGAGGCAATCAAGGAATTCCCGCGCCCATCTACTCCAAAGAAGTTGCAAGAATTTCTTGGTGTGGTGAATTTTTATCATCGATTCATCCCACATTGTTCGGACATCTTGCGACACTTATACGACCTCTTACATGGTCGGAAACTCACGTCCCGTCTTCCGTTGGAGTGGACTCCCCAGGCAGAGACAGCATTCACCGACATAAAAAACAAGCTGGCGGAATTCACCTTACTCGCACACCCAGTGTCTGACGCTCCCACCAATCTCTCTACCGACGCTTCAAACACAGCAATTGGTGCTGTACTACAACAGCTCATTGAAGGAGAATGGCGCCCAATTGCATTCTTTTCAGCGCGCCTGTCACCCACTGAAGAGAAGTACAGCACTTTTGATAGGGAACTGCTCGCCATCTACTCAGCCATACAACATTTCCGGCACTTTCTCGAGGGGCGGAACTTCCACATCCTCACAGACCACAAACCTCTCACTTATGCGCTGGCGGCCAAGGGTGATGCTCACTCTCCTCGAGTAGCCAACCACCTGGGATTTATTTCCCAATTTACCTCGGATATCCGTCATGTCAAAGGAACTAATAATGTCATAGCCGATGCACTGTCTCGACCCACCATAAACCACGTCGTGACAAACCCAGCTCAGGTGGACTATTGTGTAATCAGTAAGGCCCAACGGGAAGACCCTGATCTGCAGCGATTACGAACATCTGACACAGCTCTCCGGTTCATCGAGATTCCCATGGAAGGTGGCGGAAGTATAATCTGTGACACCTCACGGACGGGAGCACTTAGGCCCTACATTCCTGCCCAGTTTCGCTGGAAAACGTTCTCAGTATTTCACTCCCTAGCACACCCAGGAGTACGCGCTTCCCAGAAACTACTAACGGAGCGTGTTGTATGGCCAGGAATCAATGCCGATGTTCGACGATGGACTCGCTCATGTCTCCAGTGCCAGCGAGCGAAAACACATCGTCACACAAAGAGCCCTCTTCAACAGTTTCCGTTACCTTCTGACCGTTTCGAGGTGGTGCATGTAGACATCGTTGGACCATTACCGTCGGCAAGAGGATATTCTTATCTACTCACCTGCATCGATCGATTCTCCAGATGGCCGGAAGCAATCCCATTAATCAACATCTCAGCTGAGTCAGTGGTCCAGGCTTTCCTCTCTGGATGGGTCGCCCGTTTTGGCAGCCCCTCTGTCATCATCACCGACCAAGGACGACAGTTCGAATCATATCTATGGAAGGAACTTATGGAATTCCTCGGCACCACACATAACCGAACCACAGCATACCACCCTGAGTCGAACGGAATGGTAGAACGCTTTCATAGGCAACTAAAAGCTGCCCTAAGAGCTCAAGCACGCCCTGATGATTGGATCGACAACCTTCCATTAGTCTTGCTTGGCATCCGTTCGGCCACGAAGGAGGGCAGTGGATTCTCGGCAGCAGACTTAGTATACGGATCTAGCCTGCGGCTTCCGGGCGAATTCTTAACACCAACGCCACTTATCACACCCCCAGACCCCACTTTTGTCCAGAAATTACGGGCGGCCATGACAAACATTCGGCCTACACCACCACGCCAACCGACAACTCGTGCTACATATGTGCCTCATGAGCTCCACACAACTGAACACGTGTTTGTAAGAGTCGACGCTGTTCGACGCCCTCTACAGTCACCTTAAGAAGGACCATTTAAAGTGGTTTCTCGAACACCAAAGTTCTTCACCATTGAACGCCGAGGACAGCGGGTAAACATCTCCATCGATCGCCTTAAACCAGCACACTGTGACGCTGCCCCAGACATCCCTCCAGAG